CTAGCTAACTTCACACCTGATCAATATCTTCCTGTTTCAACTCTTTTGCAAACTTAACCACCGAGCTTGTTGGCTTGTTCTGTTGAGGGGTGCAAGTTCAATAATTTATGATCCCAGTCTGACTCTAACTCTATCAATTGACTCCAATTCTGCTGCCATCAGTAGTAACTGTCGGAAGCCTGAATTTGGGTACAAAAAGAAGTTAGGAGCGCTCATGATTACACAATAAAGGCCTGAAGATCACAATTATGTGATATGTGTGTGGATATACACGACACAATTATAAGGTGTGTGAATCCTTGCCTAGAGGCACCCAAACTTCGTATGCAAAAGCAGCAAAATACATATTTTCAACTCCCATGTTTATTTACTCATGTAAATTTGCTTAAGTTGGAGGCCTAAAGCCTCCCTGGGCTGAAATCTCACGAAAGCAGCAAACAGGTTCATACAAAATGTATTCAAGGACTTTCAGAATACTCTGTCTATTGTTTAGTTGCTGAAAAGGCAAGTTCTCAAATATACCAAAAGAAATGGCCTTGGCCCAAAAGAAAAACAGGCTTTCCTAAAGTTAGAAAAGAGGCCTAGATTGCCATGTTAGAAATGCTAATCTCACCTTTTTAAAATGCTAATAACGAAGCCTAAAATTCCAGGTAACAATTGCGCCAAAGCATGGCTTGCTTGATCGTGGTTTTGTTACCTGGAATTTTAGGCTTATTCGCTTTTTAATAAAGGCAATATTAGCATTTTAGCATGGCATCCGTGCCTCCTTTTGAAGTTCAGGAAACCACGTTTTCCTTTTAGCCCAAACCATTTCTTTTTTTTTTACTTGTGCAAAAACTAGCCTTTTCAGCAATTCAACAATAGAGAGCATATTCTGAAAAGTCCTTGAATACACTTGCAAGTTTTAAAAAGGATACAAACCCGGCTGTGGTAAATTCGCCGCTTGTTTATCTGGAATCAATGTTTTCTATTGTTCGATTCTCATGTGTAATCAATGTCTTTTATTGTTTGATTACTTGGTTTCTAATGCACCACGTATACCAAATATATGTATCATTTGTTTCTGTATCCTATAAAAAGACTTGACCCCCCCCACCCTTAATAAACTCTTTTTACTTTGCCTGAAATATCTGTGATTCGTATGTTGGGTAGGGGCAAAAAAGCCATTTTTGCAACAGGTAAAAAAGTTTTTCTCTCCCAAATTCAGGGAAATAGGTTCCTTCAGCGCCACGCCACTCGGGGTGCTTGAGTTTCTAGGCCACAGTTTGTTGACTAAGCCATGATGGCTGAGTTCACCCATGTTAAATCATAAGCCATGGTTTGTAGATCACAATTGCTAGGTTAACAGAAGGCGCCAGGGGTCAACCAAAGAAGGAATCTTTTGGCCTAGAGAAGCGAATCTTTTATTTCCTCATGAAAAGGGAACCGGAAGTTGTGCTGGGGGCGCTATTAAGACTGTAGCCCTTTGGCTTACACGTGGGTTGGGGGGGCAAAAGAGCCGTTAAACGTTCTTTCCTTCAGGAGCCAATCAGAAATTTCGGCTTCCAACCGTGTTGTGGAAAAGGGCAGGACAAAAAAATTATCGACCAATTAGAATAGAATAAGAGGAATGTCGTTCTACCCAACACTGTGGAGTAAACCGTCGGCGAAGATTTACATGGGATTGTTTGGCTGATTGGCTCAGGGCAGGCTACGGTGCCCAATGAAAAGATCAGCGGATATGATTGACAGATTTCGTTTCAGCCAATAAACGAGGGGCCAACCATTTAAAAAAAAAATCTGCTTAGCAACCAATCACGTATCGAAGTCCAATTGATTGAAGATTAAGACGGGCGAGGAAAAGGCGGGCAAAGTCCACCTTCCTGCCTAACCACCACCTTTCATTCTCCTCCTTCTATGCGCCGATCAATCCTTTCCACTTTCCTAACAGACTGACAGAGGCCTCTTCCATTCAGCTCCACGCCAGAGCAAACTAGGGTGGAAGCTTTTCCCACGTACCCAATCAGCGACGGGCACGGTTGGGGGCGGTGCCAGGAAGCCCTTCGCTCCAATCCACGTTCCCGAAGGCCATTTTGGAGGGGGGCTCTCCTTCTCCCTCCCAATCGCCGACGGACGCCTCTTGATTGACATCCGGCCTTCGCCAACGAGGGGCCAGGATGAGGGCGCGAGGAAGAGGGCCGCCTC